TTGGGGAATATCTCAAACTAAATGTCTAAAAGAATAACAGTAAAATATCTGGGCTGTTGAGAGATTATAATAACGAAAGAAATCGAGATAATAAAAAAAGAACCTTTTCGTGATGTGTTTTCAGAAATTGTAAAACGTGTAAATTTTTGTATTGGAGTTAAAGGTAAGCCTTTGAGCACCTCTTTCAAATAAAAAAAGATTATTAGGATAAAGCTTATTACTAAGACAGTTATACGCATTTCTTAAGTGGACAAGGCTTTTGGGACACCCTGTATTACACATGGATAAATCTTGTTATTTATAATTCTTTTCGCGAGGTACGCACAGTGAATTTTTTAATTGTCAGGTGTACATTTAAACAGTCAATAGATAATATACAAAACTGCGTAAGGTTACTAAGTTTCAAATTAATTTTTCAGTTGTCATTGGTATCCTAGTTGAAGCTGTAAGCGGTTTTTCTAGCAACTTCTGTGAAAAATGTTTTTGCTGTTTGTTTTTCAATAAAAAGCTATGGTTCTTGACGCATAGAAAATTGAGTAAACAAATTTCACACGACATATTTGGAAAATCTACAATACACCAGTTAATATGTCTTCCTCTCATTTTTGGAAAGGTGGAAAGTGCAGCTATTCATTTTACTCTCTTGAAGTGCCATTGAAAAACTACTAAGTCGGCTTTTTTTCAAATAGCATTACTACAATCATTGCATTTCATAAAAAAAAACAGTTCCTATCGTAATTTCCTTGTTAAGACATTAGTAGCACAGAAAAATACAGCGTCGTTTTCTCTGCCACTACATAAAGAAAGAAAGTTTCTTGAAATTTTCTTTATGGAAAAAAGATAATGAGCATACCACTTTTGGTGTGCTCTGAATAATTCGATACGATTTAAATAGTCTGTTATTATGTGTTGTTATTTTAGCTTTAATCGTGTTTGTTTGATATTTTACTTCTTCATTAACATCATTGTCGTTTGGTTTTTCTTCTCTGTTCATTATCATTACTCTTCCTCGAAAATCTGCAGGTATTATGATTATATTCTTCATGTTTTTTAATTCTCTTATTGCTTTTTGTTCATTAGCATTTCATTTTTTTAGGTCGTTTCTATCGTTTCATCATCGTATTGGTTTCTGAAATTGTTAGTTGCTTCATTACTGATCGTGCCAAGTTTAGTGCATATCCTGTATTTGTTGTTTTATCAATTATATTTATTGATTTGAGAGTTATGCTGAATTTTGAAGGCTTTTAATAACAGTTGGAAGCGATCATATGTTAGTTTAGCATTCGATTTATAACATTTGTTATATCTATTGCTATAAGTTTTTGCTCATTTATTAACTTGTGAAGTTGTTTCTTATTTTTATTTTGTATTATTTGCTTTTTATTTTTTTTTCTTGTTTTTTATTCAGTTTATATCAGATTGATGACATTCTACAGGTTAGATCTCGTTCATGTATATGCTTAAAACCTTTTCTGGTGTTGCAATTTCAATGCTCATGCATTCTTGTCATTCAAATCGACACTCGAACATATGAATTTTGATTTTTGTCATTGTATTTATTAACAACACTTTTTTTTCTTATAATTTGTCATTATATTTAACTGCATTCCATAAGGAGCTACACTTTCCTCCTTGAATGGTTTTGAAAAATATTTTATGCGGTTTTATTTTCATAAAGCGTTGGTGTAATTTTTCCAAGTTTGATATGACGCCACATACGCACTTTTTTCTCGAGGTGTTTAAATTCATTTAATTTAATTGGGAACGATGCATTAATTTATTGAACATTTCCACTCTTGTGTTTATTTATCTATTTATTTTTTCTGTCTTTATTCAAGATTTAAAATCAAATAGAAACAACGAATTTGAATTAGTTATAATATTTATGTAATAACTATTTTAATAATATAATGACGTAATGTTTTGACGATCAAAGTTGTCACGTTTAGACGTAGTATACGAATCTACAGATTTTTCTATTAGTTCCACTGTCTTGTCAACCCCCTATCATGTGACTAACACAAAAGAGAAAGGAAAAGAATTTAAATAGAAAAGGCTGTACATTCCTACAGATTGTCGGAATATCAAGTCATCATTTTATTCAAATAACTATTATTGAAATGTTATAATTAATCAAATTAATTGTTTTTACTTTTTTTAAATTTGGATGAAGATATCGAAAAAAATATCAATAGTTAAGACTCAAAATATTCAATAAATCATTGCTTGTTCTCTGATTCGTCCTTCCTACAGAACGATACAAATACGAAAAATAATGCATCCCAATGTGCGCAAAAGAATCGCATGTATATGATCAAAACATGCCTTCTCGTTCTTCTTGGTGGGGAAATTTTCTCTTCAAGTGATTGAATGTTTCGAGTTTTCATTATATTTATTCATTTTTATTTGCTTTAATTTAAAAATTATAATGAAATGATGACGTTCTCTTACGAGAATCGGAATGTCCTTTTTCAGACGTTGTATAGGAATGTACAGATTGCTCTATTTAAATTTCTTTTTCTTCCTTTTTTTATAGTTCTTTTTATTATTTTAGATGCTTCTTTCACTAGAGGGATAGATTGTGTATAGAAATGGTATCATGACGATTTTCGACTTCTTCATGGTGGAATAAATCACTTCTTTGATTCGTCGTTTTTTCCCACCAATCTCGTTATCGATGGCAAATGCTTTATCCAAATTAATGTGCACAGATATATATTATCTTGATGGTGTTGAAATCTACGAATTTTATTTATTGTTCTGCTTTTTAATCATTCTTTTTTGTGGTGATATTCGTTTATTTAAAGCAAACTTTGTTTCTCTGTTATACATTGCTCGCTGCTTACGTGTTATTTCATAAAAATCAGAACTGGCTTTTGTTTGACTGAGTCTGTAACTTCTGTTTGAAGCTTATTAGCGTTAGAGAAGAATATATTCGTTTTTTATTGTTTTACTGTCTATCTTAGTGCGTTTTTCCATTCACAAATCGTGTTTGTAATTTGGTGATTCATTTCATTTATTTTATTCTTTTTTCTTTCTTTTTGACTTTCATTTGTTGTAGTTTTAATGAATTTTAGCTTCTTTAATATATTTATCAATGATATGTGTTGGGTCGTTCACTTCATTTGAATTCGTTTAAGTTTATTTAAATCATCTTGTCCGTTATTATTATTAATTGTTGTCGCAATAGATTAGGATACCATGTTTTGAACAATATTAATTTGAATAAATTGCTGTTGATCTTAATCGTAGTTCAATAACCTATCGGATGCTGTGTGCTTTGCATACCATTAGATACTACTCGTATTATAATTGATTTTTAGCAATGTCATAGGAAAAAGCTATTGATATTATTTCTTTCATATTCATTACATTTTATTAAGATCTTCGGCAGATACTTCAACCTGTTATAGACATTTTAATTCTCTTGCTTTGGTTATTTATTTTAATAGATAATAAGTTTTAATTTTTCGAATTTTATCATCATCAAATAATGTGATATTTCGTTGCTGTAAGCAACTTTTTCTGATAAAATGCAAAAGATTTACAATACACAAAAATAAATTATACATTTTACAACGGAGTAAACGGAAAAACAAGAGACCGTCATTTTTTTTCTTTTTTCCTAGCTCTTACAATGGCACGGAACAAGGCGGCGACAGTAATAGACTGAATTGAGGAATAATCTCCATGTCACGATTAGCGTCTTGCTCCATCAAAAGCATCTGTTGGTTTTCGAGTGTTGATGTTGTTCGACTTTTCTTTTTATTCGTTGCTTTGTTTTATCAAATATTGGGTCACAAATTGCACAAATATTATCATGTTTATTAAGTGATTCATTCATTAATGAATAGATTGTTTCATTTATTCTTCTTTCTTTCCAATTTTTCTCTTGTTGAACGACAAAAGCATTATCAGTATCGAATGAGCATAGATGATGATTTTGGTCTATGCGGTGAGCCATTGCTGATTTGTTATCAAGGTCATTGATTAATGTGAGATGTTGTCTAATTCGTTTTTCAATTCTTACTTTTGTTTTCCCAACGTATATTTTTTATTGTTTAAAATCGCACTGAATTTGATATACAATCAATCGTTATTCAAGTCTTCGTTTTAACACTTCGATTATCGGAGCATAATGTGAACTCATGTTAAATTTAATTTCATTATCTTCTTGCTGGACAAGTTTTTTGCGTTTATTATTTGATATGCTTATTTTATTAATTTGTCAATTTGTCATTTTTGGGTAATTAGAATTAAGTAACATGTTTTTTCAACATCTTGCTATTTCTTTTCCGAACCATCTTACTTTATTTCGTAATTAATCATTAATTAGTTGTTTTGATAATGTTGTATCTAAGAGGTTGATTCCGTCATAGTTTTCGTATTCATCTGTAAATCGAAAGTTGCCATTTATTTTATTCATTTTATTTACATATTTTTAAAATTTTTTCTTCAGTGATTGTTGGTATTGGCAAAATATCATCAAAACAGGTAAAATTTTTTAAGAAATATTGACTTTTTCTAAGTATTCTTTCAAAACCTCTTTCGTATATATCCGCAATTAAAGGACTTAAATTATCACCCTTTCGTAATCCATTCTTTTTATTATAAAAATTCACATTGAGTGTAACATGGTTGGTCTTCAAGACAAGCAATAATGAGTCTTAATGACAGTTTTAATTAAATTGCAATCACTTAGCTTCTTTAATTCAACAAGTCTATTTATTGTAACGTCTTCAGCTTTTTTCACTTGGATTTTGGTGAAAATATTATTATTATCAAAATTTTCAAACTTTTCAGTGGTCTGGATTAGTTTTTCTGAAAATTTCTTCAACAAAATATAAATTTATTATGCACTACAGAACTCAATTTTATTCTTAATTTATTAATAACTTTGAATACGAATTGTGAAATTGGTAAAAAAATTTTATCGCGAGAGCAAGTTATAATTCACCTAGATGTGTTTAGGCTGTCTTCTTACTGTTGGGAAATCATTATTATGTTTTAATTGCAACATCTTTGCTATATTTAGCTTTTCCCATTTGTATAATTTGGTGACTAAGTTGTTCATTTCTGTCTTAAAATTATCTGTTGGATATGTTTTAATGTTCTTGTTAGGTCTAATCCTAACTCTAAACTGATTAGCAGTGGACAGATTCCCAAAAAGAGAGAATTTTCCTGAAAAATGATCATGTTTCGAAAACTGCATCCATACAAAATGCAAGCTTCCGAAAATATCGGAACCTACCGTAACTACTATAATATTATTCAAAACCAACCATAACCAAGACAAAGAAATTTTCTGGAAATTGCAGCAATTACTCATAGTATAGAACCAAATTACCAGATAATTTTCGTAAAAAACAAACTTCCCAGAGGGAAAGTTATCGGTAATTACGGAAATTATAAGCACATGCGGACGTAAATACCATGAAATTTCCAAAACTCATTAGCTATCACACACTAATTTCGGAGAAATTACTGAACTTACTATTACACGGCAAAGAAAATTGCGCGAAATTAAAAAAGTTAACATCAATAAACACGTTTCTTCGAAAGTTTCTCAGAAATTTCCGTAATTACCTAGAAAGGAAGGGGACCGATAGAGACAAAATGGGCCCCCTGTCGAAATTCGACCTTCTTCTTTCAATTTTATTATTTTCGCTGTCAGAAGTTTATTTCTATCGAAATCAGAAAATTTCATGCATTCCACATTGCACGCAACTCGATTTAGTTACTCCTCTTTTCTCTATATTATATGACTACGGCAGATATTAGTCTAGTGGTTATTGCTTCTCTAGTTCATTCTTATGTTTAGTCAATTTATATATCAAATCGAAACTCTTTTATTTTTCTATCGAATGACATGTAAATATATGAGAGACAATAGTTCAATTGCTTTCTTTCATTTCGAAACATCATACCACTATATGATATATATGATGTTTTAATGATGGTAGACAACTTTTTATTATCTGAAACAATGTAGATCCACTCTGGATCAGATTCTAATCGATATATCTGATGGATACTTATTAAATGATGATGAAATATGAAGAGAAAAAAGTGACCGAGTAAGTCTAATTGTCGACGAATTTAGAACATAGTCATAGTAGGAACCTTCACAGTTCGACTGAAATCGTTCTCGTATTATGTTATTGTGAACATATCTGCGTCATAGTATAATACTCCATTTAGAAGCTAAGAGATTTATTTTCAATGTAGTTCTTTTAGCAGATTTGATAGACTTTATAGATGTAACGTGTACGAAAGAACGTGTGTTTCATAATGAACATTCAAAATAATTAATGATTTGGCGACGTTTATGGTAATGAGTAACGAAAATCATCATCATCGTCGCCATCAGAAGAGTCATAAAAATCGGATAATTGTATTGCATCTGTTGTCAAGTACATGTAACTCCCTGATGGCATGTGACGTTTTTGCGTCTGCCACCGTTCATAATCAAGGAACCATATAACGGGTGACCCATAATAAATGGCCACACTTTACATTGCATATTTTAATTTCAAAATACGTATTATTAAAAAAAAACTATACCACGAGATGCATCGTGAAAAGCTCTACAATCTGCACAGAGCAGTTTATTTTATACATGAAATAAGAAAAAATGAAATTTCTCGTCCATGTTGAAAAAAATGATGCTTTCACAATGGTGAAAATTGGACGCACATAGTTTTGAAAAGAAAAAGTGCGTTATTAAAATAAGCTCTACTTCCTAGATTGTAGAGCTTTTCACGATGCATCTCGTGGTATAGTTTTTTTTTAATAATACGTATTTTGAAATTAAAATATGCAATGTAAAGTGTGGCCATTTATTATGGGTCACCCGTTAGCTGATGAAATGTCACTGCAACAGCCTAGAAATCGAGCACCAGTAAAACAATCGCACTGCTATCCGAGAATTTGTTGATTTTGTAAATTGTATTGTAGGATGGTAAATTATTCGATTACTATGTACAGATTGAATTGGGACACGTACTAAGTTTGAAATACTTTTGCATCGTTGTACGGTGTAGTCTACTATGCCAGTTAGATCAATGGTAGAACGCTTTTCTTCAGCGTACGAACGGGTACGCTTTAGTTTAAATGCACCTACACAAAGATAAATTCGCAAATAAAATTCGAAACTAAACTTACTACCGAAAGTTAAATCTCCCACATCTTCTTTTGACATAATCGGAAAGCAATCCATAATTTCATCATGATTAATTGTATCCCATTGTGAAGTTCCTTTAATGAGATTGTTTTTTTCGAGGAGCTAAATAGTAATATGAAACAGGTTATACAAAAAGTTATTGTTACAGTTATTTACCAGCTGAATTCTATTTTTTTGATGAAGTAGTTTCATAATTTTTTGACTAACTTCTGAATCTTCTAGTTTTGATGCTGCCATTGGTGGTTCATAGCTATTGATAAGAGCACATACAATTGAGAGATCGCTTTCTAAGTAAATTAATGACGAATTTTCGATGGTATTGGCAAAGTATTTAAATTGTTTAATACGACAGTTTGTCACCTCTACAACCCACCGCACCTTTGTAATGCATCTAGATTGATTTGCTTCTTCGGCTGAAAATTGTTTTTTACCATCGAGAAATGGTGGCTTTGCAACATCCAGACCGAGAGCTTGCATAGCAGAAATAAAATCTCTGAAGTCTCTATCGACTACCAGGATATCATGCTAAAGAAAAATGGTATGTATTGACGTTTCAGGAAAAAAAAGAATATTACTTCTTCGAGCCAACTGAGTATATTGTCAATGTTTCGAAGTAGGATATCGTTCGTTACCGAGGCGTCATTATTCTTAAAGTCCGAAAAAAAGGGTCCAATACAAGCAATTATATAACTCGTTGTTGTTACAATCATCATTGGCTTCAATAAAGATCTTTTCTTACATAAATTGAATGTTTTTCGTTGGAATTCACTATTTCGAGACTTCTAAAAAATCATATTAGAAAAAACTGACTTAAAAGTATAGTAAATTATTTCTCACTTGAATGTAAATGTAAGTGCTATCAATGACAACGATTGTTGTATTAGAACCACCACCATTACACGTTAACCCTCGAGCAATTGTTGTTTTATGATGATCAATAACATCTTGACATGTAACATGTCCGAATCCCCAATTATATGGTACAAATTTTTTTAATATAGCTTGACGGACACTATCAATAGTTTTGGAAATTGTTCTGTTCTCTGGTAATTGAAACATGCACGCTAAGAGACGATTTGATAACCCAAGACGAAGTTTGCATAAGTAAATACCAATTGCTGTTCTTATCGATCGATCAGGTGAATTACGAATACCAGATGTTGAAATAATTTCAATAAGTGAATTAAAATCATCTTTTGAAAGACTAGTTAATAAACAATATTCATCATCTGTAAGACCTCGTGGATCATTAAAATAAAATCTTCTCTGTTCATTTTCAAATAAGTTCTGAGATTTGTTTAAAAGAAGTTGAACACCAGAAGACTTTAGTTCTTGGTGTCGTATTGCGAATGATATAATTGCATCAACAGCTTCTTTAGTTAATTGAGAACCAATCAAATGATCTGAGCAACATCGTGCATCCTCTGAAATCCAAATATTACGCGAAAAGAGTAAAAAGTCTCGATCTTTCGATGGAATGTTCACTGCATTACCATGAAGATCTTCACGACAAACACAACATTTTCTAATGACAATTTTTTAAACTCTTATTTATGAAAATTAATATTTTACTCACTTATGTGAAGAGGAAGCCGCATTCAGCTGTAATGTAACTATTTCACTATTTGTGGTCTTGATCACGGTTGCACTTTGCACTGCCAATTGAAAAGAAGCATCATCAGTTTGAATAAAAACGTTCATACCAACACTCTTATAAACAAAATATTGAAAACAATGAAAACAAATGTGGAAACCTCGGATTTAAATCCGAGTGCTATGTGTACTTCAAAAAGTAAAAAGCAATTTCTGTTTAAGTATCTTTGCAATAGGTGACTTAGCCTTCTTGTTTCTTAATGTTTTATATACCATTTTGTAGCCCGTGAAATTCTCTATCGAATGGTATATAATAGCTGAGCTTTTGTTCTATTATGAGAGAAAACGTTTTTTTGCGATAACTCAGCAATTTCTTGACGAATCATTCTCATCTTCGAACTGGACCAAGATATCGATGAGACGATTCTGTCTGCAAAATTTCATCATAATCGGAGGACGCTTTGAGCAGTTACCGTATAAACGGCCGGCAGGTCGGCAGCACGGACATACTGACCGATCCTATAGTGCACTCACTTTTTGAATACACAAAAGCGCTTTCCTTAACTCAAAAAACTACTTTCAAAATTTTTAAAATCTGACTTCAGATTCGGATTCCGCGACCCCGATTTGCTTTCGCCAACCTTTATAAAAATCATTATTTTCTCAAGAAAATCTTTCCTTAACTTAGAAAAGTACACAGCAATTTTCGTTTAAATATCTCTGCAATAGGTGACTTAGCCTTCTGGTTTCTTTATGTTTTATATACCATTTTGTAGCTCGTAAAATTC